AGTTGACAAGCCTGACAGAAGTTCAGGTATATCAAAGTTCACGCTTTGCTGCATAAGCCCACAACTTCCCATAGGATCCAACATTTATAGATGCCCTGTAGTTTAATCCACATAGCAAAAAAAGAGAGAAAAGAAAACAGTAGCCCAAAAAGCTTTAACCTGGGCCTCTCCCTCTCTTCCTTGGGGAAAGATGTCAAACAACTATTCCAGTCTTCAATAGATTTTACATTAGAGAATCATATTTCTCAAGTCTCAGGTAAAAAAATATATATATAGAACTGAGTCATGTCTCTACTGAAATCAATGGAAAGTATCATTTCAGTGGGAGCAGAATAAAGCTAGGAAAGTCACCTTTGGAGGCATGCTGTCCCATTGGTATCTATCAAGGAGGATAACTAGAAGAGGATTAACATTTTCAAAAGGGCCGAAGTGGATTTAGGGCCTTGTCTATACACAAAAGTTGTAGCACTTTAGCTATTCTGATATAGTTAAAATGGTACAACTTCCATGGATGCGGTTATAAAAGTGCTTATACTAGTATAGCATTCCCATACGGGAAGGCAAATAATCTATACCAGTGAAAGGCACTTTGTTATCAATATAACTGCGTCCACGCTAGGGGTGGTATTAGTGTAACTACTTCAATTAAAAAAAACAAAATAAAAGCATACCCCTAACTGAAATAGTTATCCTGATACAAAAACTGTGTGTAAACCAAGCTTCTAAGTCACTGGGGCATTTTACTCAAGTTCTGATGAGCAACAGTACAGATGTTGTGGGAGATGGAATACGCAGAATAGGCAAACACAATGAATGCCCAAAGAATGTCAGCTTTGATGAACTGAAACAGAGCCCCGACCCAAAGCTCTTGGGTTCTTTTCTATCCAACAACCCTGTGAATATAAATAGTTTAGAGGCTGCGTAGAGCAAATACTATTTGTTTTTATTACTATTTAACATCAGGGACTCCAGGGATAACATTTTGTTTTTAAGTATCCAGTGCCCTGGCTTTTATTTTTCAAAGGATCCAACTTATTTTGAAGGGACCAATTCCAGGAAAAGACGATGCAGTTACAGTTTGGCCCTAGAAACTGAAACATCTTTGATTTCCAAACACTTACAGTATACATTACCCCAAGAGCTAACCGGGTGTCAGGTTTAATGATTGAAGTCAAGATTAAAAAAAAAAGCCAATAAACAGGATAGAATTAATACAGGCTCATTCAAGCATATTTTTGTTTACTTACATTTTTAAATATTAGGCATTTTGATAATAGATTCCTACTCAGTTGGAAATAATATCTGAAGGCTTCTCTGACCTTCAAATCATACAATAACAAAACCCCCAAAATAGAAAACTTTAAATAATAGAACTACAACAATTAATAAGTCAGGTTAGTTAGTTAGTTGCTACATAACATGCGAAGGCCATTAACTGAATGAACAGAGATATTCTGACTGTCCAAGATATCAGAGTCCAAGAAGCTAGCATCAGAGAGCTATTAACAACCATCTGAAAAATATTCCTCTTTATTAAGAATCTATAATTTTTGGCATTTGATTATGGTGGATCTTAACCACCACATATAGTTGAACCTGGCTAACTATTTTATGCTAAGTTATATACTTGCAGGGCCTTCTTGTTGCTTTTTGTCAACAAATGTCAGGCGTTTACACTTCTATAGTAAATGTAAGTATACCATAATGGGTCTCTTTTATAGTGAAGTTATTCCCCCCTCTCCCTCCCAATTTTACTCTGGGTGTGATCCAAGCCCAACAGGAGTCTTTCCATTGACTTCAACGGGCTTTAGGTTCAGAGGTGTGAACATCCCCCTCAACCAGAACTTCGGATACGTTGAAACGATTCAGAACTTTCATTCTGCTTCTCTGGCACATTCTGCAGGGTAAGTTCATTCTGTGCTGATTCCACTGCACATGTTAAATATTTAACTCTTGACCGTAGGCAAAAGAAAAATGTTTTTCCTTTGGTTTTCAGTGCTTCTAAGATCTCTCTTCCGATCAGAAAGGGGCAATGTTGGAAACCTGCGCTGCTTTAGACATGACATTTTTTATCATCAACCCAAGAGGGGCCCTCAAACAAATGTTAAAGGCCTATCTCCCTTAGCCAGCTTGGAAAGTAAATGCATCAAAATGTAAAAAGACAGCCAAGCAGTAGGGTAAATGCCACAGTGCTACCTTTTCTTTTGAAATGTTTGATCTGGACAGTAGGTGATTATTTGATTTGCTTTATGTGTTTTTTTTAATCTTTCATCTTTATTTATATTTATGTGTTTAACTCCATTTCTTGGCCAATGACAGAATTTCCTCTCGTATAATAAAAGGATTCACATGACCTAAATTTTTAACTGTAGCTATAAATCCACCGGTGGCTTACAGTTTGAAAGTGTGGACTATTGTAGCCACTTCTCTTATGGGTTTAATCCCACCAGCAAATCCCTCCCAGTGCTTCTCAACCAATGCCACTTTATGAAGCATATTCCAGTAGAAACCAGAATCTTCAATCAACCCAGTCATGGCATAGGTCAGATGGATTTAGGGCTATTAGCAGAATCCCTAGGGGAAATTCAATGAACTACTAAACACAGAAAGTAACAGGGTTTAAATAATTAGAACATATGTGTCATGATAGCATCATCCACGACTGCTGTGTCAGTTCATTCGACTATGAATTATTATCTCAGCCTTGCAAAACCAGCGTTTTCCATAGCTGGCATGGAATCACCCATAAAAATACACTCAACCTTCCCACAGGCTTGATGATAATGAAACAGCTAATGACAGTTTATTCACCCATCAAAACTAAATCAGAAGCGCTTACCCCAGATAAGCAGCTAAGAATTGTTTTATAATGCTGAACTATTTTTACAGCCCTGTAAATTACTGGATGTTTGGGTTATTGCTCCTCTGAAAGTCTTGGGGGATTTTTGGTAGCCTGTTTTCTTTTATGGTACTTCCCCTCTATGTAAAATAGGAATTGTCCTACAGTGAAAAGAGAAAAATCTTTACTCTGGAGTGGAAGGTTAGTCTGGTCCGATTCCTGCATGACTGGAGTTAACGGGTGTTTTGCCATTGACTCCAACGTGAGCAGGACTGGCCCTCCGTAAGGATTTGCAGCCTGCACTCTGCTCTGCATTGGAGCCATTGGGGACTTTCATTCCACTTTCGCTATGGACAGAGTTTCACTGGCTAAACTGTAGCAGAGGATTAGCTGCAAAAAATCCCTTGCCGGTGGGATCTTGATTAATAACTATCCCTTCCACCAGAGGTATGTCAGTGGTTGGTTAAAAACCAAGCAGGAATCAATATGAGGAAATTTATTATGAATAAGAACTGCACTATAACCACCCTCTCTCCAAAAGCAGGTAAAATTGAGGTTTGCTACCATATTGGCCTCCAGCATCTTGCTATTTAATTAGTAATATTCTCAAATTGGGGTATTGAGGCAGGGGGAGCTGTAGATCTTGCAAGAACTAAATAAGTCCCTATTTTTAAAAAAAATTAAAAATCCATGGGTCAGACTGATATCACTTAAATCAAGTTTTACACCGGTATAATTTCATTAAGATCAGTGAGGTTCCTCTTCATTTACTCCCAGAGGAATCGGGGGGCCAAACTGTGGGGGATCAATCTGTAGGCAGCACTCCCCACTGATTTCAGCAGAGACTTCTTGTATTTTCAGGTTCAGAACATTCCATGAATTTTTAGCATCAGCATTACCAGGAATTGGTCCTTTAGAAACTATTTTTTGAAATAACTTGGATTTTTTTTTAATGATCAGTTTTATCATTAGGTTCTCCAAAGTTATAAATGTTTCTACTAAAAGTGTGTGGGGAGGACACAGAGTTTTGGGGAGAATAAAAGTCTGCAGAGCCCTCTAACTGCTTAGCGGTCTTGCAGAGTTCATAGTGTCTTAGCGAGGAGAAAACTTTTCTGCCTGTAATGTATCAGAAGAGTGACATTTATTTTGGGTGCACGCCTAACAAACTGCATCAGACTAATTTGTTTGCAAAAGCACATATGGCTCTGATTCTGCAAATCACTTCCACTGAAGGCATCCGTCAGTTGAAGTGAGTGGGCTCCACAGCTGTGCGGGGGTCTACTGGTGCAAATCTGTACGTAGGATCTAGCCCTGTGTTTGTAACATGAACAGAATGTTTTCCGTTTTCCCATTTGGTATGTCCTAACTTCTTCCAAAGCTAATGGGAGATTTGGGTATCCAAATAATGCAAGATCAGGCCACTGAACAACAGTGGAACTATTATTACTAGGGCTATTATTATTATTATTTTATTATTATTATTTATTTGTGTTCCCACTGATGTCACTGACAATTTTATAAGTGACTTCTCTGAGTCTTGATCAAGGCTTTAATCCATCTAGTAGGGGGTATATATGTTCTGGATATTTTCCCCCCAACCATTTATTTGTGGATGTTCCAGAGAGAGCAGAAGATGGGTCTGTTGCAGAGGGAGGTAAATAGGGTGTCACTGGATATTTAGCAAACCACAGAAAAATGCAGAGCGTAGAGGAAAGATGCATCGACTGGCTGAGGAGTTTGTGAATGTTTTGGCCAGAGAGGAGAGCGTTTAGGGGAAAGGGTTTTCCTTAGTTCACCGCTACAAATATGTCGTCGCGCCTGCAGAGTCCACACTGGGAAATCGAGCTACTTTATTGCCTCTGACAGCCACCACACATTAAAAAGGGCTTTGCTTGCAAATCTTTTCTGTGCACTCTCAGGTCCCCACCACACACTTGCTTGTTCCAATCCCAGGTGAAACCCTAGCACCCAGGGTTCTTGCAGAGACAAAAAAAATCCCTTCCCTTGTGATGGCTGGGCACTGCAAAATCTCAGGGAGCTTGGTGCCAGGGTCAGACACACACACACACACACACACACACACACAGATCCAGCCTTCCTGGGAGGTAGATGCAGAAGGGGAATGGGTGGGGAGGGAAGATGAGAAAATTCAAGCTCTTACCAGTACAGGAGTGCAGAGGTTTGGGTCTGACGATGAGAGAAGGGCAGACAGAGTAAAGGGAAAGTTTCTCAAAGTAATCGCAGGTCTCCTTGGATAGGATCTCATCGATCATGAAAGTCTTGTAGCGCCTCCTGGCTGCCTTGAGCTGCCCGGGGGAGGCGAGCCTCAGCTCGCCATAGCAGTGCATGGTGGAAGCCCCCTTCCCCGAAGAGCGGCCCGGGCTTTGGGACGCCGGAGAAAGGAACTCTCTCTTTCTAAGGGGCGTGGGGAGGGTCCCAGGGAGCGGAGCGGGGCTGCCAAAGGGTGGCCCCCCACCCCAGGCGTGGTCTCTGCGGCTTGCCGGGGTGAATGAGCGCTCTCCAGCGTGCGCTCGCTCGGCTGCTATATAAACCTCCCGATAAGCATCTCGCCGAGCCCTTTTTAGGACACTTCAGCTGTCAATCAGGGCAGCCTCCGGCTTCTCTTGTGCTCATCCCCTGCGCTCCCTGCTTCCCCCTGCTCGCGGCTGGGAGGATCCCGGGCGCACGGGCGCGCGCGCTCTATTTTAAGCGACCGGGGTGTGTTTTTAATTCGGCTTTGCCTTCCAATGCTGGAAAGCTTCCAGGGTGACTTTTTCTCTCTCTCCTCCCCCCACCCCCTGTAATTAGTTTAAGGCTTGAAAATTCAAGTAGCAATGTGGCCCATCAGGAAGTTATTAAGCACTTTGGAACAATTGTACAGAGAGAGCAAATATACACCAGCGCTCTGAAATGTGTTGCAGAGAGAAGCTTTCTTAGCTTCAGGACAATTAATTACCTATTTTCCTCCCTTTGCACGAACTGTCTGTAAGAAACACTCGTTTGTGGGTATGTACTTGTGCACACACCATCCCATAAATGAGTATTTCTTTACCGACAGTTCGTGTAAAGAGAGAAAAAATAGGAGGTAATTACATGTTCAGAAGCTAATAGAGCTTTTATAATGGCTAAACAATTAAGGAATTTGCTGTGTTTGCGGCCAAAGGCTTGGAGTATTATACAGAGAGAACTATAGGTGTACTGTATTGTAAACACTTTCTTCACTAATGCAGCATTAGTCGCTATTGGGTTGTTTTCAGATGAGTTTCTGCCTGGCCATTTTCTCTCAGCTGTTTATTAGATAACTTTGCGGTCTTTGGAAATGCAGTTTTTCCCCCTACCGAGTAGTACTGAACACCTCGCTCCGGAGTAATAAAACTCAGACAGATTAAAAATGGAAAGAGATTCTTGGCAAATAGTGTCACTTTCATTGCTTGCAAGTGTTTTGCAGAAATTATTATTTGTTAATGTTCCATAATTGTTCTTAAGTGCTGCTCCTCATTTTCTCGTCTCCTTTTAAGCAATCATGTGTCAATTCGTTTACTTCTAAAGATTATTAATTTTTCTTTGTTGTTTAACTTCAAATGCCTCTGGGCTTTCGTGCAATTTTCCTGCGCTTTGCAGAAGCCAAACCTTTCCTGATGACTTAGCTCGATTTTTATTTCTCTGGTTTATGTTCAGACTGTATCAATTTCTTCCCGATTTGCAGGAAGAATCGTTCTTGAGATAGGGATTTGTATTGCTGTTAGAAATGATCCCACGCCTCGTTTTGAACAGGATTTTTTCAGCACAAGAATTATTTGAATTACTTTTGACATCAATTGTTTGTTGATTCTGGTCTGTCCCTCATTAACTAAATTGCGTGAATCGACTATATGATGCAAACAATTGTTAAATTAATTAAGAAAGTAGCTATATACTGAATTTTTCTAAGTACAGATTTATTATTAGATGTAATAAATACATTAATATATTCTGCAAAACTGTATTGCTCACTTTTTTATTTTCAAAGTAACGTTGACCTATAAGATAACAAACCATATATTTTAATTTTTAGAAAGTTGAGAAATTATAGATTTCGTGTTTGTTTGTATGGAAAGTATTGTGTTTTGAAAGAGAAAAAACAATCTATTCAGAGTCTTTAGCATGGAGTTTGTTCGGGTAACTTTTTGTTTGCTGTGGTTCCATTATAAAACATATATTGGAATCCTGTTAAAATTGTCTTCCGTTTCATCAATATTTCTTTTTCTATTGCAAATATTGTTTGGTTTTACGGTCTATTTTGAGAACCATAAAAATAATATGGATATCGTTTCTAAGCACTGTCAAAAATTGGAATAGCAAGCTCAGGGAAACAGACGATCTAATTTTGATGTTTTCTTCAAATATAGAGCAATTTTTAAAATGTACAGATACCTTTTTTTAAAAACCCCAATCAGCAATTTTTATAAATCAGAGAGAGAACACCAATAATCTTTGTTCATTAAAAGTAATTAGGAACGCATCAATATTTAAAATAAATAGTATTTTATTTACTACACTTGGAATATACTTTGTTCATTCTTTTTGCAGCTGAGAAATTCAAGGTGATTACAGTAAACAGGAATTGAATTAAAATGGTAAGGGATGAGTTCAAATAAAAATGTGCCCGAATGCCCTTAATTATTTTTATTTTTAAATTGAAGAACTGTTGTTTACATTGCTAAACCACCCCAAAAATATCTCGAGGGATTAGATTATTTGATAGTAATCATAGCAATATCAAGTTTTTAATTCGAAAACAAACAGATTTTAATAACTACACTTTCAATGCAACAGATAACACGAATAATGATTATTTCAAAGAAATAAAATATCTAACGATAACTCAAAGTGTCATAATAAATAGCGAACGTTTGCTGGTCATAAGTAAATAAATAAAGTCCTAAAGAAGCCAGGGTTTGAATCCTGAAACGGAAAAACCCCACAATATATGAAAGGAGATAGGGTCATTATGCTTCCTTGCGTTTGCTGCGCCTTCTCTGTTTGTGGCTAGTAGCTGGAGATGGGCAATTTCCCCTGGCATTTCAGAGGGCAGTTGCTGGAGTGAAATAGCTTTAAGGGAAGCTGACAAGACACAGCAGATAAATCTATGACTTCTGCTAATTTTAGGGTGCAGGACAGATGCTGGGAGTGAAACAGCCTTTCATGAAATTGACAAGCTGCAAAGCAGAAATCTATTTCAGTGGCGCTGTCGATCTATTGGGGATCGACTTATCGCGTCTAGTGAAGACGCGATAAACTCGATCCCTGATCGCTCTGCCGTCGACTCCGGAATTCCACCGCGGCAAGAGGCGGCAGCGGAGTCGACGGCGGCGCGGCAGCGGTAGACTTGCCGCGTCCTCACAGCCAGGTAAGTCGACCTAAAATACGCAACTTCAGCTATGCTAGCTGAAGTTGCATATCTTAGGTCGACCCCCGCTGTAGTGTAGCCCTAAGGACTTGGGTCCTTTATTGTCTGGTTTATTTCACTCCTGCATCCGAGCTGACACTTCGGTCTTTACCAGGTTCTCATCAGCCACTCCAGGAGCTGCAAACTCCCCGGCTAGATCCCAGGGAGAGCTGAATTGGCAGATGGGATCAGTTTTCTGAAGTGTCCAAAAGAACTTTGTTAATAATGAGAATTTAAAAAAAGAAAGAAAAAAAAAGCTAGAGCAATAAGATGGGTTATGTGGTATGAAACACACGCTGGCTGTCAATCATAAAAGGAGTGCTTTGGTCAGGAATAATCAGGGGTTTTGTTTCCAACATTAATGAAGTGGCTGGAAAACCAAACATCTGCCAAAGAGACTCAAATCCCGCACAGCTGTTGGAGCCACCAAGCGTCTCCCGAAGCAGGGCTGCCTGTCTGGTAACTCCTTCTCCCCTATGATTGCTTCACTCCCAAGAAATAGGATGAGTGGGGATGGATGGGGAGGAAAAGGAAGGTGAAATGCATGCCATGGTATGTGTGTGAGAGAGGGGGGGAATTGGCTGTAATTTGGGGGGAGGAGGAGGAGGGATACCTGTACTCTACAAAGGGCAGATCAGCCTGAGGTATATAACAGTAACTGGTTGGGACTTCTGCATGTGCCCTTTTACTCAAGGGGGAGAGTGTGTGTGTGTGTATAAAAATCCAGGGACTTGATCCTGCAGCCCATTGTCTCCGATGAATTTTGTTTCTGCAAGGACCGAAGCAGGGAAGAAATAGGCAAGAATCTAAGCACGTTTGTCAGTTTAGGATCTTTCATGATGAAGACAAGAGAACTCATCCCTGTGACAGGGGAACACAAGCAAATCGTGCAAATAACAGTCACCCAGCCCCGGAAAGAGGCTTTCAATGGAGAGAGGATGAGTGGCCTTGTGCTTCAGGCTGCAGGAGACGTGGGTTCTGTTTCCAGCTCTGGTGCCAGCTTGTTGTCTGACCTCAATCCAGTCGTAGGACTTTTTGGACAACACCGGTGGCCTGACACACTGTTGCCCTGCACCTTCATTTACACCGGTGCAGAGCAGGCATCAAATAATAATACCAAGTAGATCTCACAGCAGTTGGCAAAGTAGGTCAGAATTCTTAGCCCCATTTTACAGGTGGATTTTACAAATGCCACCTAGTCAGAATGCACTGGCTTTGCACAGCTGTGAATGACTGCAGGCGGTGCGGGCCCTGAGAAAGTTGAGTAACTCCAGCACTACTGGAAGTATTCATTTTAGACAGTGCACAGGAGCTCTGAGAAGGGTTAGATGCTGCATCCTGTCTACTCTAGGACTTCTCCTATTTGCTAACGTGGATATAGCAGCACAGGGGAAAAGGTTGCTTTCTCCCTGCCCCCGCCATGGCTAGTGAGGAGAATTCAGTCCCAAAGGACCCGTCAAATTAGCTCCCTTCACCAGCACAAAATCCACACACAGAGAGAACAATCTGAAAGGCAAATACCATTTTGCCACCTGTCTGGTTCACCTCAAAAGTACCTGAGCTGGGGTAGTCAATTATTTTTGGCAAAGTCCAAATTTCTTGGGCATGGTCTAGTCAAGGTCCAGATTCCAGAGAAAATAATAATTAAAAAATAACAATAATGATAACAATAAGTAAATAAAAAGATTTTGGGGTCCATTCAAAAGCATCTGGCAGTCCGGATTTGGCCCCTGGTCCGCCCATTGACTACCCCGATCCTGAGCCTTAAAACACATTGCTTCTTGCCCTGCACTCTTTGATGTTCCAAGGGCGCCTTTCAGAACACCCCGTGCTGCTATTTTTTAAGTCTCTGGATTTCTTTCCCTCTATTTCCAGTTCAACTCCTTTGGGGGGAAAAGTGACAGACACATCAGTTTGCAGGATTATGATTTCAGGGATGCTCTATTTTCAGTATTCTCATTAAAACCTGGATGAGGAATAGAGAGAAAAGGAGAAGGAGGAAGAAGGTGATCTCAGTGTATGATTGGTGGGGCAGACGGCTGGGCAGGCAAACCACTGGAAATCGCGGCACTGGCACCTGGCTATGAATGCTGTTGATTTAGCACATCTGTTGGCTTCACTCACTCCACCTCACACTGTGCCCAGAGAGATTAGAAGGAGGATTTGCCTTACGTGACATTCTTCACAATTTCTGCTTTCCTCGCTGTCCTAAGA